TGTATCTGTGGTATTTATTTTTTACGTTTTTGTTTTATGATTAGAGTCATCATAATCACCTGACCTTGCAGTTTTGAGGAAAGGAACATCATCTCTATAGCTGAAAGTAAAGTTGGGATATAATTTCAGACGTTTTTCTTAAGAAGGTCCTGTATAAAGTCTGCCTCATAAAAATAAATGAAAAAGTTGGTAGGCAGAGGCGCACATTTTGATCCTCTAGGAATGCAATTTGTCTATTGAAAAAAGTCCTCCAAACGCATCAAATATGTTGTCTATTTGAAAACAATCCAACATTTTCATAAATAAAATCAGATTCAATAAATTGTTTGATCTAATAAAGAGTGGCTTGTTTTTAAGAAGTATGATTATAAGATCTATAGAAAAATTATCAACCCGAAGCTTGGCAGGAGCGATATTTCAGATAAAGTAGCAAAAAAGACAAATATTGTCAGTTTTCTACTCCGTACGTTAAGTCCGACATATATTTAGTAATCAAAGCAAATCTGTTATGGCATAAGGAAAATTCATACAAATCTCCAATTAGAGGAGCAAAGTTGTACTTCTAATACTAGTAAATCGAAATAAAGCATTATATAATATATTGAATTAACTAGATTAAAAGAATTGTCGAACCAAATTTTCTTACTTTAAACGTTCAACGAAGTACAAATTATCTATATTCTTGTGTGCCGACGTTGTCAAAATCACGTTATTAAATATCAACGAAAATATAGTTTGTGGTCAGTCAACGAAAATTGGTATCAACTAAAATAAAAAAAAAAAATCACGGTAGTTGAACTTGCTTTTTGTAACTGCGAGTACTCTTAGATCGGTACTTTGTGTCTTTTGTATTTTACAGTTTTATTGGTGTGCTGTGACACAATAGACAACTTTCGAGTTCTCTGCATTTCCGCCAAAAACTTTGGTTTTAGTGAACATCGTTCGTGCGTTTAGGGGCATCCTTTCCATGTTTTTTGGCATAAAGGACTTTTATTTAAACTTCAACAATCTGGCTTAAATGATCAGCTCTTATCTTAGATAGAAAGATATCTTTCAGTTCGTCAACAAAAGGTAGTTTCAGAAGGCTTTTCATCAACTCTTAGAAGTATACATGCAGATGTCCCTCAGGGATCAGTTTTGGGACCCTTTCTGTTTCTCATTTACATAAATGATATAGTAAATGACATTGTTAATGTTTTTGCAGATGACACTTCTTTATTTGTTATAATAGAGAATGATCATGCTGTAGCAGCTGCTTCTTTGACTGATGACTTAGATGTTATCTCAAACTGGGCAAAATCATGGGCTGTTCAATTTAATTTTAACATATTGTGTTTACTAGAAGGGAAAGGGAATCCACCTGTATTTTTTGGGATAAATGGTGAAGAAGTTGAGAAAATAAATATTCACTGTCATCTAGGGATAACATTTCAGTCATCAGCTTCATGGAACACACATACTGATAATATTTATAAAAAGCATGCTCTCGTTTATCTGTGCTTCGACAAGTTAATATAAAAAAGAAGATGTGGTATGATTGCCAATGAGACAACTCTCCACAAGAGACCAAATGACACAGAAATTAACAACTATAGGTCACCGTACGGCCTTCAACAATGAACAAAGCCCATACCGCACAGTCAGCCCCGAACCCCTATAAACGGCCCCGAAATGACAATGTAAAACAATTCAAACGAGAAAACTAACGGCCTAATTTATGTACAAAAAATGAACGAAAAACAAATATGTAACACATAAACAAACGACAACCACTGAATTACAGGCCCCTGACTTGGTACAGGTACATACATACAGAATGTGGCGGGGTTAAACATGTCAACGGGATCCCAACCCTCCCCCTAACCTGGGCCAGTGGTGTAACAGTACAACATAAGAACGAGCTATAAAATCATTTGAAAAAGGCTTAACTCATCAGATGGATAAAAATACAAATACAACAACTACAAGTGGACGTGGCCGGGTACTTGTACATCCAAACAACAAAAAGACACTTTTATTAGACAGGAATTCACTTATACGTATTTATTATGCTTTCATTAGACCTATATTAGAGTATGGTGATGTTGTTTGGGGCAATTGCTCCCTGCACGAGTCCGAGCTTCTTGAAAATATTCAAATAGAAGCTGCTAGAATTAATACTGGACTACGGCGTAGTTCCTCAAGACAAAAACTTTAAATTGAATTAGGATTAGAAACTCTGGAGAATAGACGAAATAAACATACGCTTATACTGTTTTATAAAATATTAAATGGGATGACACCTGCATACTTATATGAGTTAGTCCAGCCATATTTTACCAGACAAACTCCTTATACGTTGAGGAATAAACATTATACTTTTTTACCCCCATTTCCTAGAACTAGCTCTTACTTTAATAGTTTCATTCCTTCCACTATAAGACTAAAATTCCTAAGTTTGTGTATATTTAGAGGTAGACTGGACAAGTTTTATAGGACTGATGACATATTTAAACCTTTTAATTATTGGATAAGGAAACATAATATTAGTCATTGTCAACTCAGAAATAATGCTAGCAACCTAAAATCTCATTTGTTTAATCAGTTCTTATTAGAGAACACTATTTGTGCAAACTGTAATCCCCCTATTGAGGATAACCAGCATTTCTTTTTTATTTACCCTAAGTACACGCAATGATGTTAGACAGATCTTACTTGATTCCATTCACTCAATTGTTGATAATGTTGACATAAATATTGACTTATTACTTTTTGGAAACAGATTATTTTCTTATGATATGAATATTGCTATTTTTAAATCTGTTCAGAAATACATCAGTGACACTCACCGTTTTGTTTGAAATTTTCTTAATTTTTGTTTTATTTAGTGTTTATTTTTGTTTTCATTTCTTTCCTTTCAACATTATTTCTCTTATTCCACTAAGGGATATTTACATGTCTCAAGGTACTTGAATAAATGATGATTAATTGCCTACATACTTAAATATACTATACATTTAGTAATTTAAACACTCTAAATATATATTTTCTTGTGTGTGCTCATAAGTAGCATGTATTTTCCACTATATTATATTATTTTAAATACAGTTGTTAATATTTGATTTATACCTTGTACATGTAATAGGGAGAGAGCTTTTATAGGCTGTGCCTGTTGCTCAATCCTTTTCATATCTTAATGAATAAAATATGTTTAAAATCCTTTCCATGTTGAGCGAGCGTTTGATAAAATATGGTGCTATTATTATTGATCATCAGCACTGCTGTCAATAAGGGAATTGTGATTAAGTACCTACGGAAAAACATTATTTCTAGTTTATCCTGCATATTGACGATCACGAAGACGCTTGATGAACTTTGATAGTGCAGGGATACAGGCGATCCCCTCTATCTGGTAAATGACGTCATAAAGGCGCGCATAATTGACGAACTTTTCCGGTGAAAGACATAACTCGAAAGTAGTCTATTGTCTTAGCTTTGGGAGGACCGACACCCAAACAAGTTTAATCCCGGCATATTTGTTATGTGCATGTTCCCAGCCAGCAGCATTAATGCAGTGGCTGCCGATGGTCGACTTCTGTTATAAATGTTTTTGCTTTTGTTTAACGTTTATTATCCAAGGGAATTTAAAGCTTTTTTTGCGTGTTTTGATTTTTTTAGTGAATATTCTAATATTCTAAATCATTTTCACTTATATAATATGCTATTGCTAGTTCCCGCTCTAGTTCGTTCGTTTGAGTTTCTATATTGTGTAATCAAATATATTGTCATAAAACATTCATTGTAAAGGTGTTCGTCCAACATTGTCTGTTGTCTACTATATTGTATACATGAATATTTATATATACATTTTTTTTCTGGGCAATTTTGTTAACGTCTCAATGCATCATCCAGATGGTTTTTGTACGTATACGGTCTATTAAAGGGGCATTAGCCGTCCAATTCATGTTCACCGATTTGACTCAAATTCTCATATTTGATTTATAATATACTAAAAAGTATATCCAAATTATAAAAAGTTTAAAATAAACAATTTACAATGCATGGGCTAGATAATATGTATCAGCATTTCGTATGTATTTTAGTGTAGACGCCATCTAATTAACCATCGAGGTGATCTCCGAAGTCTGCCGACGGTCATATAACCCGATATAAACATAAATATAGAAAAATTATAGATAGCGAACTCGTGCAACTGGATTTATCTGGTCTGTTTGATTTCATATTATGGGTAAAAAATATATGTTAATCATCGTTTTTACCTGTATTAGAATGAGTTTTTTTGTGGATCGAATCAGTAAATCAAATGGTTTACCCTTGTTTCACTTTTAATGTTGACATTATTTTCCTTTAATAACTGAACACGCCTAATTCATGCGTAAACCATTTCTAGCTAAGTGGTTAAATTGAAGGTCACATAAATACGGAGTCAATGAGGTCGAATCATTCACTTGCAAGTGAATAATTCATCAGCGATGTTTCTTAGCTTATTTTGGCAAAATTGAACCAAATTGGCTGCTCAAAGCGAATTATTATTTCACTATTTCACTTTCATTAATGATTGAACAAAACAAAATCATATTTTAAATTTCTAATTTCTAATGCCCCTTTAAATACGTATCCCGTAGGTTGAGCTCTGTTGATCTCATCTTGTTTTTATATAAGTAGCTTGTAACAAAATTAAACAGTCCCACCATGTAATTCATGCTAAGTTACTCAAAACAACAAATTAAGGAACATTTATCGAGTCTTTCAGTAGAATGTCCATCGATAGTGTCTCTGAACCATCTTTTAAAAATAAAGATATCTGTATAAGCTCTTCTTCAACGGTTTTATTCTTATTCATTTATAATTACAGTCATGATTTAAACACTATTGAAAAGGTTAATAATGTATATATTCACAGGACTGTTTACCCACGTGTGTTTACCTACAAATAGTAATATTTTAACACCGATTCAAAACGAGGTAAGCTATTTATAAATTTGAAGGATTGCAACAAAATGGCGTTGAGTAAAGCGAAAGCAGATAAAGAAGATTTATTAAATTGTCCGATATGTTTTGAAGCAATTAAACAACCAAAAATCTTACCTTGTATGCATAGCTTTTGTAAACAATGCATACACGAATATATTTTAAATATAGGACGCAACAAGAACAGTGAATTAACCCAATTTACATGTCCAGTTTGCAGATCAGTCGTGAAACCGAGAAATCCGAAAGCACCGGTTGATGAATGGTCTTCTGCACTTCAAGATAATCTTATCCTTGCCATTATGATTTCTACAACAAAGGGAGATAAACAACAAGATTGTAATGTGTGTGAACAGCACCAACAAATATCACTTGCCAAGTTCTGGTGCGAGGGATGCGAAAAAACTTTGTGTGAAAAATGTAACACAATGCACACATGGCTTCTATCTTCACACCCAGTAATTGCATTGGAGGAATTAGGACCAAATGTATCTGGACTTGATTTGCATGCAGTGTCTGAGAATTGCAATGAACACCCATCTAACAGTATTGAAGCTTTTTGTTTCAACCATGAACAGTTATGTTGTATCCAGTGCGTAACTACAAATCATTGGAACTGTGAAAGCGTCAAGTCAATTGAAGAAATTACAAATTCTAATAGTGTGTACGACACACTTCAGGATAAACTAGAGTGTATCAAACAAGCAACATTAAAAGTTCTAAACGAAAAAGAAGATGAAAAACGCGACCTTAAAGAGAAGTTGGAAAACGCAGGGAACGACGCAGGAAGGTTTCTTGAACAAGTTAAATGTAAGCTAGACGCTTTATTTGAGGCATTTAAGAAGCAGTTAAATGTATATCGTGACGAACAAAATACAAATTATAATATTCGAATACGTTTACTTGAACAATTCGTAGATATTTTAGACCACTGGATTACTGTTAACAGAATTGTTAAAGAGTTTGGAACCAAAACACAGCATTTCATTCATGTTGAGACTCTGAAGAATCAAATAAAGACCAGCCTTATCGAAATAGACAAGGTTATCAAGCATGAGACTACACTCGACATCAAGTTCGCGAAAAACGAAATTTTAGAGCAGCTGGAAACAGCTGATTGTATGGGAATATTAAACAAAACAGAACATGATTTGGAAAATCAAATGAAAGATATTCGAAATTGCTGTAAAAATTTAGGTATAAAATATCTACCGCAGTTTATAGATATCAGAGTTGAATTGGTTAATAGTTTTCACATCGAAGGATCGGACTTATCCTGCGGAGTATGTGTAGGAGATGATCACATTATACTTGGTAACAGATCATTAAAGAATATATTACAGGTATTTGACAAAAAAACTGGGCATGTTATTAACACTACAAAGTTCGAACAAGATGCTTGTCGTTTGTGTTATGATAAAGAACAAAATCAAATTTTTATTTCTCCTTTCGAACAAAAGTTTTTATACAAAGCAGGGATAGTTGGAGACCTTATCAATAATCCCGTTTTGTTGACCTTTAATAAAGATTACGTCGGGGCATCATGTAAACACGGTAAACACATTTACATAGTTGTAGACGAAGCTATTAAAAAGTTCGTCTCGACTGCAAGTCCAAATAGTTCGACGGAAATGACAACTGTGTTTTCTACAAATACAGACTGTGGTATAAATGGCATGAATATAGCTAAAAAGAATATTATTTTTACAACAAAAGACAAAGAAGTCAAATGCATAACAATTCAAGGGGAAGACGTTTACTGCTTTAAAGACGAGATGATTAAAACCCCAGAATGTATAATAGCTTTGCCGTCAGGTCTAATTTTAGTTGTAGATCGAGATAAGAAAGGATCGTTACATGTCCTCTCAGAAGACGGTAATAAACACAAAACACTTCTTAACAAATTTGACACTATCACGGATCCACGGGATATCTGGTTAGACAATGATGATCACGAAACATTTTATATAGCTGGTGGAGAGTATTTAGAGATGTACAGAATAACATGTGACTAAAGCAGTTTTATGTGGACTTATTTTATATCAATATAGTAGAAATATTACGACTATAGATAACAGGAAAACACATTTTATCGGAAAGTAAATGAAAGTTGTAGCTATCCACCTGTAAAAACCGAAAGACAAAATAAATAATTCTCACTCAGGTTTAAGTCAGATGCATACCAAAGGAAGCACGAAGTTCTGCAGTACATCAGAAAAAATGGAAGTAATTCCCAGGGTATGAGTTCAACAAGCGAAAAGAGTCGTTGTGACAACACAAACCGTACTAAAACCTCTTGAAGTCGGCCGCAAATGTTTTGAAGTTATATCACGATAGGACGATACTTTCCTTGTAGACAGGAACATATCCTTTTACGTAGTGTGTAAAATGCAAATATGTGTGCTCAGTTGTGATTAACATACAAGACATTTTTCAAACATTTATAAAAAATTAATAATTTATAGCCAATAAAACTTCATGTTAATTTATTGACATTATATATACACAAGCAAGCCAATTACCTTTACTAATTAAAACTTTTAGGAATTTCCGAAAATATTACCACCTTTGTAAATTGCATTGTAACCAAGAACCAATCTATTTTATGAAATAAAACTCACAAATAGAAGTAATACGACATGTATTTCATATCGTTCTTATCAGTCGCTAGTGTAAAATACTTACAGAAGAAAACAAAACATAAACATACACATACGTATAACAGATATGCACAAAACAGCTATCAACAAAACTGCTATTGAATTAAAGAAATGAGGTACATACGGAACATGATATGCAAAGAAGGGACAAAACGTATCCATTACGATTTAGAAGCTGACCCGAGAACACAGTTACTTTGTAGAGCATTTCTTTTAGACAAAAAATGAAAATTAAAAAAATCCCACCTGCGCTTTCTCAATAATATTTTTACAGTGTGGTGTACTACTTTTGGGACAAATTATATTAAAATTTTAGAAAAGTTCATCAGCTCTAACTCAAACTATGGACAATTTTATGTTAAGGGGTCTTGAATTCTTTTGACAGCTTCCGAAATACTAATTTTTAACCTTTTTTAGCTGGACCAAATCACTACTTTACTTTTAAGTGTAATTTCACCCCTACCAGCTATTTGAGGTATAAAACATGAAGAAATAAATTTGGAAAGGGTATAACAAAATGGCAAGTAACACACTGTCCACAATAGGGACTATATTTGTAGACAACGAAAATCAAGGGACGATAACTGTGTTCCCAGACCAGCTTGTAACCGAGTCCTTAGATGTAAAAATAATAAGATGTGGTATGATTGCCAATGAAGCAACTCTCCACAAGAGACCAAATGACACAGAAATTAACAACTATAGGTCACTGTACGGTTTTCAACAATGAGCAAAGCCCATGCCGCAATGTCAGCTATGTTTGTCTGAATCTGTCACTAGATTTAAATTCAAAGGCTCCACACACTCTTTAAAAATACTGCAAGTAGGTATCGTAATGATGCAATGTGATGAAAATTAAGGTTATCAAGAGCTGTCATCTTTTCAATGGTTACCTTTTTTTTAATTCGAATCATTCGTTCTTTCTCTGTGTCAGATTTATTTCTACTCTAGTTGTCATTGTTGAGCAGCGGAATATAACGACTGAATTATTCGGGTTTCCTTTCATGTGAAAAAGAATCAAAACGTTTATTGTGAGACAATTTTTGCTTAGTTGATATATGCATGAGAGCTTCACATATTTTTCTTACTTTTCAGTGTAGTTTTGTGGGTTATCGTTGGTACTCTTGCGCGTGACTCGCCTCTGTCTTCAGGGATTGTTTATGAGTGTACAACGAAAATGCTTGAGTTAATTTGTCCAATTTACACATAAATATCCAATACATGTGCATAGTGCAATATATTTCATTAATTTAAATAGCAAATGGATGTAAAAGGGAATCAAAACAGGGTAAAAAGGGGTAATTCAATACGATCTAATTCGTTCATGAATGACATGGTGTCTTATTTGGGAAGCACACACATGTACTTATTATACGTACTTTTAGATAGTGTTTCGAAGCTAAATAAAGATTTTAAAAAATTAGCTGCGAAATCAAATGCTCCGGAAAAGTAATAAGTTCCTGTCCAACTGGAGACGCCAGTAATGTTTTTCATAACAGGTACAAATCCGACGATAGGACGCATATGGTGATCTCATACACGTAAATATGTAGAAGGTATTGTTGCACGATAAATTGTACACATCCATAGTTATCTGTGAAATTGGTCAATAAAAAGTTTGAAGATAGGAGTACACCTTGTTCTATTTAAACCACATGATTAATAATTTCATTGTCAGCATCAATCCTCTTTTAATGAAATCATAGTTGAAAATTGGCACTGTCCATGTTTAATTCAGAATATGAAGCAGAACAAACTGCTGTGGATATACAACTTCAGAATAAATGTATGTGTGGTATTATTTCAACATGAATGGAATAGATGCGATCAGTATAGCCATTAAATAAAGACTTATTCAAATCAGGGCAGCAACTTTAATAAAAGAAATTTAAAGTTACTTCTTACTCCTTTTGTGTAGCCCTTGTATGAAGTTTGCCTCATATGAATAAAGGAACTTGTCGGCGAGAAGAAAACTCATTCTGTTGGTTCCAATAGGAATACCGACCTTGTGTTGCAAAATACGAACAGTAAATATGCAAAATATGTAATTGATCAGAAACAAAGTATTTTGTTAACAAAATGATATAAATTATCCCAAAAGACCTTTTATCCTACTCCTTATGAGCCATACGTCACATATTACAGGTAATCAAATCAATTCGGTCCTGGGTTAGGAAATATGCACAGCATATCTAGTCACAGGTTTCAACTTCGAGTAATAGTTAGTGGATTTATGGATTTACTTATTTCGTTGATTGATGGAAAATTGATTTTGCGCGAATACTTGATTTCGTAGTTTTGACAAAATCTGCACACAAGCCTATAGGAAGAATATACGTTTATCAAAATAAAGTTACATGGGATTCCATTTGATCCAGTTTCATCAGCAGTTAGGTCAGAATTCAGCATAACGTGATTTCAGCTTTAATCAGCAGATGGGTCTAACTGTTTTAAGTATTGAGAGGTTATAGAAATAGAGATATATGGAAATGCAAGAATTTTAAAGTAACGCGTGTAGATACTTCATTTTTTCAATTTGTACATGTTAAAAAGATTTGCTCCCATTAGAAGAACAGGTACAAGATACAGGTCTGGATCAACTTTGCTAAAACTTGTCGACCATGACAGCTATGAGACATCATACAAACTAGATAAGTGAATTGAAAATGAAGAAAGATGTACTGTATTTGAATAGCCAGCACTAACACAGAAGATTTGGTATTGCGAATTAAATCTAAACGAAGAGTGGTAACTTGTGATTTGAAAAAAAAACAACCTTATGCTGCTTCGCATTCGACAATCGTCGTATTGCAAAAAAAAAAAAAAAAATTAGTTAAGAGTCAAAATAGTGTGACGTTCCTCGGGGATTATGCGAAACAAGAGTAGATTGTTGTTTTTAAATAAGCTTCTACAGCTGGGTTTTTTTTATATAAGGATCATCTAAAGCGCTTTTACAGTTTTGTTCAATTAAAGATTACATATTACACTATACAAAATGTTGTATCAGTTTTCTTTTCTTTCTATGCGGTATATTCAAAACGTTTCAGTTCTTATCATGTAGACTAATCAACATAGAAAGGAAAAGAAAGAAAAAATATATAGAAACATCAACAATTCAGAACGGTTGCGTTTACCAATCAGTTAAGTAATAAGATTAACGGTACAAATTGTACTGCACCAGCAGCGCATTGCGACAATAAATGACTCTTCAGTGATGCTCGAAGCCAAAATATGCGTAAAACCTAAACTTATACAAACGTTGAAGAGATGTTCATGCCAAAAATTAACTAAAACATAACAAAATCCGGACAGGAAGGAGGGAGATCTATACCTTAAATTTAAATGATTTCCAAAATTTGAAACAGAAAATTTCAATCAAACAATATCCGTACGTTCATGCCAGTACCGAAGTACTGGCTATTGGGCTGGTGATACCGTCGTGAAATAGATTCACCGAAACGGCCGGTACAAATATTTGGTTATTTGAAATAGAACAATGCTGCTATTCGAAATATTGTATTCAACAACAGGAGACAAAAACCGATTATTGCGAATATTAGTATTTGATATTGAATACCTTTCACTGGCAGATCGTTTTTCTCTCCAAACAATTGTTGTTATTGCAGCGCTCTGTATTGATACAATATTATTTACCATTGTTATATACTATAATAATATACTATTATATGAGGGAAAATAATGGATTTAAAGTCATTTATAAAGATATAAAATCATTGTAATGATAGGCACTGCAAGTTAAGTGATATAAAAATAAGAAGATGTGGTATAATTGCCAAAGAGACAATTCTCCACCAGAGACCAAATGACATAGAAGTTAACAACTATAGGTCATCGTACGACCTTCAACAATGAGTAAGACCCATACCGCATAGTCAGCTATAAAAAGACCCCGAAATGACAAATATAATACAATTCAAACGAGAAAACTAACGGCCTGATTTATGTAAAATAAATGAACGAAATACAAATATGATATACAGCAACAAACGACAACCACTGATTTACAGGCTCCTGATTTGGGAAAGGCACATACAGAATGTGGCGGGGTTAGACTTGTTAGCGGGCGCCCAACCATCCCCAAACCATGGACAGTGGTGTTACAGTACAACATTTAAACAAACTATAAAAACTAGTTGAAAAGGGTTTAACTCATCAGAAAAACACACAAAAACATAGACCGGATGTGGCAGGGTATTTATACATCCCTACAACAAAAAAGACACTAAGTAAAGGTCTGAGAGTATTCGCAGTTACTGACAGCTAGTTTAAAGCCAATAACAACTAATAAAAAAAATCGTGTATCTTAGATTAAGTATCAATCAGCACACATCCTACATCCAATGAATTAAGTGTAAAGACGTCAGAGAAAAACATGACCTTGTGCAATGCCAAAATACAGGTATCGACAGATTGTAGAACCATGAATGTGCATATGTATATGTATATAACAACAATAGTAGTTTGGTTTTAATTCACCACTGATAACAAAATCAATATTTATACCAATAAAAAAATGTTTAAAGATCTAATTAAAGTGTTGAATTGGTAACATTTTAGAATAAATTTACTTAAATGATCGATTAGTTTACCCGGATCGTATCTAAATTTCCGGTCTCAGTAAACAACATATCCGTAAAAATTAGGATGTGCTATCCCGTTTAAAATAAATTTTCAGTCAAGGTACAGTCAAACTTACAAACCAAATCTTTGTATCTATTGAAGAATTTAGTAAAAGTTATTTACTTTAGTAATAGACTGTTTTTATTCTAGTGCCACTGATGACGAAACGCGCGTCTGGCGAACCAAATTATAAGCCTGCTATTTTTGATGAGATTCAAGCATGATTAGGATAGATCAGAAAAAATACTCCTTTATCTTTAGACTTAATTTATAAACCTAGCTGA